ATTTGGTGAACACTTTTTTTTAATTTTTTTTCGAACGCTCTATTAGAAAAAAAATAAAAAAAAGTTTTGTGCATGGGCCAGCGGGTAGCAAGCAACCAAGCAACCCCCAGCCGGTGGCCATCTCTCTCACAACTTTTAGTAAAATAGCTAATTGCGCAGGAATGGTAGAGGCAGGCACCTTTCTCTCTCTTTAATGGGGAGAAAGTTGTAATGAAAAAAAGTAAAAGGAAAGTTGAAATGAGGAAAAAGATAATATGTGATGGAAAATAGATGGACAGGGCAAAAAATAAATAAAAATTGAGATTATAATCTAATTTATTAAAATTTTGGAGGAAGAGCAATGTATCCATGCTTTTAGCTACATACAGTTGAACTTCTCTATCTCTCCCAAGATAGTTGAACGTCTCTAAAAAATTACCCTTCGAGATCGGATTACCAGATTTTGAAGAGAGCTGCCAAAATGTCTAAACACATCTCCAGTTCAAATAAGTCCAAAACACATCTCCATCGGGACCGAAATGAAAGAGGTTTTGAGCTCCAAAAGGAGGGCTTGGCTTATTAGGAGCCGAAAAGTTTCGAATATTCAAAATTTTCGGTTCGGATAGGTAATCAGGATACCTTCCAAACTCTAATTATAACGGCTCACAAGAATCCCATTGATTTTTGGATAGTTTTTATTCAATATATAGAATAGTGTGCGGCAAAATCGCATACACGGGATCCCGTAACGGGATTTGTTTCAAAAATTTCTTCGGGACGGGATCCCGCGGGATTAATCCCGTAAATCCCTATAATCCCGTTCGTCGCTTAAAAATCGGGATTTCGGGACGGGATCCCGCAAAATATCGAACGGGATCCCGTCCCGTGCCGCACACTAATATAGAACATTCGAGACAACACAGTAGCCAACAAACAGATTAATTTAATCCAGACGAATAAAAATCTATCGCTAATCCCTAGTATTATAAATATTTAATTAAATTTAAATTTGCGTCATTAAATGCCATAAAATTTATTTCTTCTGACCGGCCATACCTATTTAAATTTCCAATTTCTTTAATATAGCTCCTCTCCCATTCCACGGATGCTCTGCGCACAATCACACATTCTTCTCCAAATTTTTAACTCCCTTCCTTCCCGTCATTCCATCAGTGGCCCTTGATGGACAGTATATTTTTGTGTGTGAAAGTAGCAGCACAGCCAGGTACGGACAGGCACGGAACTCGTTTTTGTGCAAGATTAAAAAAGGAGAAAAGAAGTTTTTGTAGGGTCCGAGAGAGCCACATGCATTTTGTTGCGTGTGAGAGGGAGAAGAAATGAATGAATAATGCGGCTGGTTGCGCTTACAGGCCAAAAGTATAGCAAATGTTGTGATCTAATGAAAGGTAGCATTAAATAAACTTGTATAGCTCAAGAAGGGATAATCCTTTGGAAAGGGTTGGGGTCATAAGGGCGCGGGGCCATTAGGGCGCCAGCACTAAAAACTGACACTTAGGCGAAACCGAAATTTATGAAAATTTTCTCAAATTTCTTTAACATCCTTGACTACCTTCTCCAGAAATTTCAGAATTTTTCATCGAGTATTTCTGAAGTTATAGTCGATAAACCGCGAAAAATTAAGGTTTTTTCGGAAAATCAACATTTTTGGCCACAATTTCCGAAATTCTTGATCAAAAATTCTGAAATTTTCGGAGAACGTAGATAAAGGCATGAGAGTTATTATTGCAAAATTTTATCTTTTTTGATAAGAAACTCACTGTTTTATAAGCTCGCGCCCTAATGGCCCCGCGCCCTAATGGCCCAGTCCCTTTGGAAATGATAAAGATATCATTGGAAAGAAAATTAAATTTCCTTTAAAAAAGTCAAAACTTTAGATTAAATAAATAAAGAGGAGTTGATAAAAACTTTGTTAAAATTTATAATTTTTCGAATGTTTCCATGCGAGATAACTCAAAAAGAGTTGAACATAAAGAAATGATATAACTATCAGTTGAACAAGGATCAAATTAGCTATGAAATGAATTTTGAACAAAAATTTTGGAAGGTGAAGAGAAAAGAAATAGAAAAAAACGATAGAGAATGACTACTTCGAGTTGATCCTACCTAAACTCTTATAGTAACACAAGAAGGGATGAACTCATAGAAATGATATTGATACAACTGGAAAGAGGGTTAAATTGGCTATAAAATCAGCTTAGAAGATAAATTTTGGATAAAAAAGGAAAAAAATATATAGTTCAAGAGTCTTTTTTCACTTTCGAGTCATTTATTAAAAGATTTATTTAAAAATAATTAGTGGATTTGGAGGGAAATCTGAGAATTAAAAGGTATATTGATGGATCTGGAGGGTAAAGAAAGGGCTGAAGAGAATTGGGATGGATATCAGTTTGGGACCTCTTGAGAAATCGAGAATTTTTGCCTATATCATTACTGCCTCACGGTAACGTATATTCACTATTTACTAAAAAATGGTATGATTTTAAGTAGCTAATCCGTTCTCAAATTATTAAATCTAAATGCAAGTTTGAGGCCTTTCAGTGGGTTAGGTTCAACAGTTTAGTAGTTTCTTTTTAAAATTTAAAGAAAAAGGTTAAAAATGGATTAGGCAAAGGATCGAACTAAAAATAAAATTTATTATTATTTTGGAGCAATGCGGGAGGTTTTAAATTTATGAAATACAAAATAATAACTTAAATAAATTGAAAGAATTTAATTCAAAACACAAAGTAGAATTTAATTTAAAAACTTTAAAATTATGGCAGTAAATAAAAATGTAACGAATGATGCAAAATCAAAATAAATTCGTATTAGTTCAAAGGCATTCTATGATCAAATTTAACTTTATTAACCAAAGTTTGTTTCGCTAATTTTAAAAATATTGATAAGCCAAAATTTAATTCAAGCAGAACTTAGTAGTAATTATGAAGTTAATTTACATAAATGAATTTCCTATAAATTCCATCCTCATCTTTAGATACCTTGTGGAGTCGAAAATCGTCGCTTATAATGAGGTATATATCATAGAGGGTATCGCCTACGAAACTACGCTACCTAGAGGGAAACAAAATTAAAAATATATTAATATGCGTTATCACTAGGCGTTTAAAATCAGGTTAACTGTGAAAAATTCATTGGATACTAAAGTGGATAGAGTCTAATAAAAAAATTGCAATGAAGTTAAATTGAGAGGCTAAAATCAGGGAAAGGCGATTTGGTCAGTATTTTTAATAATGGCCCTCGATATAAAATAATATTTAGAAGACGCGCATTCATGCAATCACAACAAAAAGTAAATTTTCCGAGGGTTTAAAAATTGTAAAAAAAATAAAATAAAAAGCAATCGACAATCAAGAAAAAAGTCAATGTACAAACAATCTCCACCTCTTTTTTATATTCATTTTTCTTTTTTTTCCCTTTTCACTTGAAAGAAACTATTTACTCCCGTCATTTCTGCCAAAACATTTAACTAACCAACCCCTTTACACTTGCGCACCCTTAGCGAGTTTTTGGGGTTTGGCCTTGGAGGCTTTAAAACGCTGAAGAAGAGATTCGTTCAATGGGGTCAAGGCGAGAAAAAAAAGAAAAAATGTTTTAGCTGTTGCCCTTCAAAAGGAAGGTCAAAATCGAAAGGAAAGACGTGTGAAGATGGGAAGGATATACATACTATTTTCTCCAATCTCGATTTGGATCATACAATTATTTAGTATTTTTAACCTTTCCATGAAAGGTAGATGAAAAGAATAAAGTATTATTTTTGTATAGAAAAATGATAGCAAGCAAAGTACTTGACTATAAATCCAATTTTTATTTTAATTTATATATTATTTTATATTTGGAATAATTGCTATTTTGTAAATATTATTTAATTTTTAATTTAAAATGGGCAAAAAAGCCTTCTGGAAATTCTTGGGTTTTTAACTCATGGCAAAATTTCGATAATTATGAGTCGGAAATTTTTACGAAAAATGCCATAAGGCAAGATGCTAAAAGAAAAAAATTCAAATTGTCATCAAGTCTAATTTTGGACAAGTGTCGAAGGTTGGATATGTAAACTTAAGAACAAAGAGTTTCTAAGGAATTTCTTCATTTTCCAGAATTAAAAATTTTTACTTTTGCCAGTAATCACTTGATATAAGAGTAAAGCAGCTGGGCTATAGCTATTTCTGTCCTTTAGCTAGTGCAAAAGGTTAATCGGCGGCTGGGAGCGAACCAGCATCTTCAGTAGACCGGACTGATGTGTTAGCCATTACACACCGCCGCCTACTGCTCAGCCTTAGGAAATTAATAGCTATATGCTTTACATAAGTTTAACTCTACATATTATTTATGTATATATTCAACTTAAGCCAAAAAAGACAATATAATATTAAACAATATTCATTTATTTATTTTTCAATTTTATTTAAAAATATAAAATTTTATTTTTAAAATATTTTCTAGAATTTTTTTTATTAATTTTCTCCAGGCTTTGCAAACATTGGGTTGACAACTGGTTCCTGTAAAAATTTAATTTTATTAAAAAAAATATTTTTTTTTGATTTTCTTACATCCTTTTTAACTTTGTGAGCAGAAATGTATTGATATTGGCTAGCATCTTCTTTATCTCCTGTTGGAATGGCATCGATATCTCTGGCCACAGCACTGAAAATTAATTCAAAAATTTTTTTAGATTAAAAGTCATCTAAAAGATTGGGTCCACAGCCTTGTTACAGCCGAATATCACTACATGATACACCTATTAATAAGGGCACTCAAGTTAAGGGTTTAAAATTTGTTTGATCATTGGACGTCCGATCCTCTGTATAAAAAATAAAGAATGAACCTGACGTGATCTCGGACACACAAAAATCTAGGTTATCGAGATCGGGATTATTGAAGAAAGGGTTTGCAAAAGTTTAGCCACCGTGCAGGATTCGAACCTGCGACCACCTGCTAGTTGTTGCTAGGCGCTTTCGCTCACTATATGCAGGAGCTCTACCTCTGAGCTACCGGGGCATCCACTAATGCTTTCTCTTTTTCCTTTTTAGATCGTTAACCCCCGCCTGAGCGTTTTAAATGCTGCTAGGTGAATCTTAGTTCACGTACGATCGTCCCAGTCCGATCTTAAATTTAAATGACTGTTATTTAAGATATAAGAAGATGCCTCATATTGTAAGGTATATCCGTTGATTGCCTAAGCAAGGTTGATCTTTTGGGCGAGCATTATGTGTTAATGGATTATTTCCTGTGTCACCTCCCATTCACATGCTTATGTTTATATATTGTTTATTGTTTCACAGATAAATCAGTTCCCAGTTAGTCAGTCTTATATATGTGCCCCAAAGAGGAAGCACACCGGTGTTGCTTGGTAAAGGTATAAGCTAGGGTCTGGCCAACCCAATAGTTATCCTTAGGGAATATAATGGTGATGTGCCTAGGTTTAGTTTTAGAATGGATCCAGCATGATTCCACTCAACTATATTGCAGCTATTTTTTAACTTTATTTTTGTCTAAAGACTTTTCTAAAAAATAAAACGAACATATTTAGCATTCCAGAACCCAATCCATACTCTGCCGAGAATTTTGGGGTCTTGCGTGGCTTCAAAGGTTGATAGCCATGATAAAAAGAGTTGTCTTTCAAGTCTTGATAGGCAGAATAACCCTCACCTTTATCAACCATTTTAAATTTAATTTTAGTTTGAAAAAATTTTTTGGCCTAAAAATAAAAAATTTACGATAAATATCCTAATAGAAGCCCATCCCTAATAGAAGCCCATCCCTATAGAAGCCCATCCCTAATAGAAGCCCATCCCTAATAGAAGCCCATCCCTAATAGAAGCCCATCCCTAATAGAAGCCCATCCCTAATAGAAGCCCATCCCTAATAGAAGCCCATCCCTAATAGAAGCCCACCCCTAATAGAAGCCCATGCCCTATTATAAGCCCACCCGATAGGGGGTATTGAAAAATATAGGCCCAGGGCTTATATAAGGATATTTACGGTGGATACACCCCAACGTACCGCGAGCCCAACGTACCGCGGAGCTATAATTTCTTTCAAAATGGTCGAATCCGGGACGTCTTGGTATGGGTCGATGCATCTTGACGAGCTGAATTGAACCATATCAGGGCGTCCCGGATTCGAACATTTTGAACGAAGTTATAGCTCTGCGGTACGTTGGCCTCGCGGTACGTTGGCCTGCTCCCATTTACGGTAATTTAAATTTAGTACATAAATAATTTTTTAAAATAAATTTTTTAGATCATCTAAGATTGAAATAAATTTTTTGTTCAAATTTTTTGTTTGTTTTTTTTGTTAATTTTTAAGTTCAAAAAATAAAGCTCTCTAATTTTATTAATATTAATTTTTAAGACTAATTTTCTAAAAACTTAAAATTTTAAAAAGAGAGAGGATATTAATAAAAAAATTTTTAAATTTTTATCAGTCAAAAATTTTCAAATTTTAATAAAATTAAAAATGAAATTGGATATTTAAAAAATTCATTTATTTATTAGAATTTTGAAAATAAAAGGAAAGTAAGTGTTAAAGAAAACAGGCTGAAGTAATGAGAAAGAATAGACGTGGGTGTAGAAAGAGGATCCTTTAAATAAAAATATCCCAATCGAACACATGTTTTTTATCCGTTTTTATTGAACAAACTTAAATTTAGCTATCAAGAGAAAAGATATTTTAAAGTTTCGAGTTTAACAAAAAAAAAACTTCTTTAATTTCAATAAAAATATTTTTTAATAAAATTGATGTTCAAAACCCCCCAAACAATAAAAAAAATAAATTAATAGACAATTGTTTTTTCAATGGAAAAATAAAAATATAAGCTGATATGCATTTTGAAAAAGACGAATATCCGGATTCGAAGAAAATAGGGTAAATAAGTTTTCGGTGCCGTACATCAGGATTTGCCAACCGATGTCTGTTGTAATACGTCTCAAGTATCACTACCGTACTCACCGGATTTAAGTCCGATGAGTTAATATTTTGGGTATTTTGGAGGGAAGGGTCTGCTCTTAATAACCCAAAAGTTTTGAGTCTTGAGAATCAAAAGTTTGAGAATTTACTAATCACTAGTTCGGGAATGGAAAGAAATCTCGCCTGAGTATGTGCGAACTTTTGCCGAGAATTTCTCCACGCGCCTTCGACTCTATATCCAGGCAAAGGGTGGGTACTTCAAAAATTCTTGATTAGATTTGTTCCTTATTTAATTCTCTATTATTCAAGCTTTGTTTGATCTTATTATCTTAAAAATGAAAAAAGTTATCTCAAAAATAGGGTGTGCAGTTACTTTCTTGTCACCCTGTAATGCCAAAGATTTAGTCATTCAAATGACATTAGAGATTTGTTTGGATTAGGGCGGATATAGGTAAGGATAAATATTGGATGATCAATGTGGGTATCAGGATTTTGGAGTCTAAGCCAAAGTATAGTAAAGCAGCTGGGCTATTTATTTTTCTCCTTTAGCTAGTGCAAAAGTTTATTCGGCGGCTGGGAGCGAACCAGCATCTTCAGTAGACCGGACTGATGTGTTAGCCATTACAAACCGCCACCTACTGCTCAGCTTTAGGAAATTAATAGCTATATGCTTTACAGTATTACCAGATATAGGGAATTAAGAGGGCCATTTGAATGCCAATTTACAGGGTGCCTCAAAAGTCTTTGCCCGCACATTTTTTATCATAACTTTATTAAAACTTAATCAAATAATATCAAAATACAATCAAATAATAGAGAATTGAATGGAGAACAAAATAAAACAGGATTTTTCGAAATACCTTCATTTAACTTTAAGATAGAGGCGCAAACGCAAACAAAAATTTTTGCAAAATTGCCGCACCTCCTTGGTTCACCTTTTCAAATGCGAAAATTTTTATGAAAGAGACATGTGCGAATCGCAAAAATGACTGATATAGGGCCTCAAAATCTCCTCTTTCTTATCCAGTTGTTAAGGATTTCCAAAACCCTTCCCTCGAAATGATATGGACAGCCATTTGCAAAACGATCAAAATTCGTTGATTTTTATGAATCCTTGGGTCAAAATAAAAAAACCATCATTTAATAAACTTAAAATTTTATATCAAAATAATTTAATAATAAAAATAGTGAAATAAAAAAATCAGAATCAGTGGTTGGAAGCTTGTACAGAAATTCGAACTCGTACCCGTACCTGTGTACAAAGTAATAAAAAAAATTAAGGCCTATTTTTACACTTTGGTTTTTAAAATTGTAAATTTATTTTCTAATTAAACGTAAAAAACATATAAAAATCTAAAGTTCGGCATGAACTTTTCAAAATATTTGCTGTGTACGAGTAAAAGATAATAAAAGACCTGAACGAAAGTACGAGCATGTTTCAAAATTCCAATCACTGGTCAGAGGCATAAAAATTCATTTAAAAATTTAGATAAAATTTTCTATTTTTAGTAACCAATTTTAAAAGGAGAATATATAATAATGCTTTTACATGTCATTGATAATTAGAGATCGGAATTTTTAGTGACGGACTACAAAATGTACGGAATACCGCTAAATAACAAAATACCGTCGGTAGTGCGGTGTGTTCCGATATCTAATTATAACAGTTTTCATAATACGAGAATAAAACCCTAAAATCCACAAAGTCTGTACATTTGGAATAACGCTAATCCGTCTCCCATCATTTGAATAGTGACACGCCCAAGTAGGCGCGCGGCCAGGTAGGCGCAAAGCCATAACTACCTGAAAAATTTCTGGACCTTAACAATTTTGGTACGAAATCTTTAGCTCGATGAGAGGAATCGTTTAATGCTATATTTTGTCAGATTCGAAAATCTTGAAGCAAGTTATGGCTTTGCGCCTAAATGGCCGTGCGCCTACTTGGGCTGTACCCATTTCAATAAAGTCTATAGGGTGACGTATTAACAGGATTCCATTGATACCAAATTACTTTCAAATGAAGTCAGATCTCACTACAGGATAATCAACATTCGATGAATTGAAGTGTTTTTAAACTTTGGATAAGCAATACTCGCAATAGAGCTATCTGTGGAATCCTCAAATAAATTTTATCAGCCACGTGCTGTATCCTATAGTGAGATCGGTTAGATTATATATGCTAAAAATAATAATATCCCTATAGTAAAGCAGCTATTTCTCTCCTTTAGCTAGTGCAAAAGGTTATTCGGCGGCTGAGAGCGAACCAGCATCTTCAGTAGATCGGACAGATGTGTTAGCCATTACACCACGCCGCCTACTGCATAGCCTTAGGAATTAAATAGCTGTATGCTTTACACTATCTACCCTTTTCAAAACCATTGTTAAACTCTATATAGTGAAACACTAATTTCACAAAATCGTACAAGTACATTTCCCATGTGAACTTTCATTCAAATCTACCACAGGAGATGGGGGACGTTCATGTCTACTTCCACGTCCGTGTCCACCTCCATGTTCATGCCCACCTCCACGTCCGTGTCCACTTTCTTCGATTGGACGTTCAGAAGTACTTTCCCCCATAACATTTTGTCTGCGATGTTGACGCCCTTTCTTTGGTTTGCTTTCTCTGCGATGTTGAGCATCCTTAGGATGTGTAAAAGTGAAAGATTCCGTATGTCCAAGTTGAGAAGGCCCTTCTTCTCTGGCCTAATTAATAAATAACATAATTTTTTTTAAGTTTCTAAATTAAATTAATGATCATGTGCTAAACCATCTAAATTCTCCATTTCTGAAGCAAAATTCCGAATTTACATTTAATGCTTAATTCCCGCAAGTAAATAAATTTAAGGCGGAATTCAAATTACTATATTAATTTTAAAGACAAATTTTCTCATTATACAAGCTAGGATAATAATAAACTTGTTCAAATAGGTCTTTATATCAGGGCTCTCATCGACAAAATGCCACTCAAAAGTATAAAATTCTCGATTAAAAAGTATATTCGTACTTTTTTACTTTTAAAAAAGTACGAATGAGAGCCCTGCTTTATATCCTTAAATAGCGCTAAATTATAGACCTGTTTCAGTTGTGTAAGTCGACTTGCGTCAAATGTATGAAAAGCCCCTTCTGAGTCGTCGACCTCTTTTTGGGAGCTTTCATCAAAAATCTAAATCAAAAAAGTAATAAATTTTTTCAAATTCATTTAATAAACATACCTCATCGTTTAGTTCATGAGGATAATAGTGCAACGGCTAAAAATAAGTGTTTATACATATCACCTCTAAATGTATTTTGCAGTCCAAATTTGATCTGGACTACGAGTTTATCCAAATTACTAGATTATTATTACTAGATTTTACAAGAATTTATTATTACTAGATCGTGATCGGGACTGGGACGTTTTGGCGCGGGGACATTTTGGCGCGAGCTTATAAAACAGTGAGTTGCTTATCAAAAATTATAAAATTTTGTTATAATAACTCTCGTGCCTTTATCTATGTTCTCCAAAAATTTCAGAATTTTTGATCAAGAATTTCGGAAATTGTGACCAAAAATGTTGATTTTCTGAAAAATGCCTAATTTTAGAGGTCTATCGACTATAATTTCAGAAATATTCGATGAAAAATTCTGAAATTTGTGGAGGAGGTAGCCAAGGATGCTAAAGAAATTAAAGAAAATTTTGAAGGAGTTAGGTCTCGCCTAAGTGCCAATTTTTGTTCTCGCGCGAAAATAGCACGGCGCCAAAACGTTCTCAACCCCATGATTCGGCCCACGGACCGAATCACG